AAAAAAAAAAAAAAAGAATGAAGGAGAGGGAGAAAGAGAAAGAGGAAGAGGGAGAGAGAACGGGAGTGTTGCTTTATTGCCCGGGCTAGAATGCAGTCTAAAAATGGGTATGCCTATAATTGTGCTTAATAATAGAGACATGAAAAAAAAATGAGGGAAGAAAATAACAAACAAGCAGCCAACCAATATTTCATTTAAACCTGTAAATAGATGTGATGTGGTACTGATAAGAGTGTATATTTTGTGTATTTAAAGTGGAGAGTTCTATAAATGTTAATTAAGTCTACTTGTTCCGGATCTGAGTTCAAGTCCTGGATATCGTTGTTAATTTTCTGTCTCATTGATCTGTCTAATATTGATGTTGAAGTCTCCCACTATTACTGTGTGGAAGTCTAAGTCTCTTTATAAGTCTTATATATCTGGGTATTCCTGTACTGGGTGCGTATATATTTAGGATCTTTAGCTCTTCTTGTTACATTGATCCTTTTATCATTATGTAATATCCTTCTTTGCTTCTTTTGATCTTTGTTGCTTTAAGGCAACTCCTGCTTTTTATTTATTTATTTATTTTTGCTCTCCATTTGGTTGGTAAATCTTTCTCCATCTCTTTGTTTTGAGTCTTTGTGTATCCTTGCATGTGAGATGGGCCTGGATGCAGCATACCCATGGGTTTTGGCTTTTTTTGCCTGTCTGTGTCTTTGGATTGGGGGATTTAGTAGATTTAAATTTAGAATTAATAATAATATATGTGAGTTTAATACTGCCATTTAATGTTAGCTGGCTGTTTTACCTATTAGTTGATGTAAATTCTTGATTATATTGATGCTCTTTACTTTTTGCTATTTTTTAGAAAGGCTGATACTGGTTGTTCCTTTCTATGTGTAGTGGTTCTTTCAGAAGCTCTTGTAAAGCTGGCCTGGTGGTGATGAAATCTCTGAGTGCTCGCTTGTTCACAAAAGATTTTATTTTTCCTTTGCTTATGAAGCTTAATTTGGCTGGATGTAAAATTCTGGGTTGAAAGTTCTTTTCTTTAAGGATGTTGAATATTGGCCCCCACTCTCTTCTAGCTTGTAGGGTTTCTGCTGAGAGATCTGCTGTGAGTCTGATGGGCTTCCCTTTATGGGTAACCTGACCTTTCTCTCTGGCTGCCCTCAGTATTTTCTCCTTCATTTCAACCGTGGTGAATCTGGCGATTACGTGCCTTGAGGTTGGTCTTCTTGAGGAATATCTTTGTGGTGTTCTCTGTATTACCTGGAGTTGAATATTGTCCTGCCTTGCTAGGTTGGGAAAGTTTTCCTGAATAATATCCTGAAGCATATTTTCCAGCTTGGATTGATTCTCTTCGTCACATTCAGGTACACCTATCAAGCGTAGATCAGGTCTTTTCACATAGTCCCATATTTCTTGGAGACTTTGCTCGTTCCTTTTTATCCTTTTTTCTCTAATCTTGTCTTCTTGTTCTATTTCATTAAGTTGGTCTTTGACTTCTGATATCTTTTATTCTACTTGATTGATTCGGCTGTTAAAACTTGTGCATAGTTCGTGAAGTTCTCGTGTTGTGTTTTTCAGCTCCATTAATTCACTTATATTCCTCTCTAAATTGTGTATTCTTGTTAACATTTCATCAAACCTTTTTTCAAAATTCTTAATTTCTTTGCATTGGGTTAGAACAAGTTCTTTTAGTTCCCAGAAGTTTCTTATCATCCACTTTTTGAAGCCTGCTTCTGTTAATGGAACACACTCGTTCTCCATCAGGCCTTGTTCCATTGCTGATGAGGAACTGTGATCCCCTGCAGAGGGAGAGGCATTCTGATTTTGGGTATTCTCAGTCTTTTTAGGCTGTTTTCTTCCCTTCTTTATAGTTTTATCCATCTGTGGTAATTACCGTCTTTATAATTGGTTTCTGAGTGGACGTCCAACTTGTTGATTCCCAGCGCTAAAATCTGAGCAACCCACTGCGCCGACCAAAACGGTGGTGTTAAGATTGATGGTGCTTTTCTGACTCTGCACCAAGAACCACCACACCAAGGCAGTGGCAAAACTGCCTCGCCGGCCACAAGAGTCACGCTGGTGACCCGTGGGGCTCCTCCGCTGGAAATCTCCTGGTGCGTGAGCAACAAAAATTTGTCTGGAAGTGTGGCGTCCTCTCGTTCTGTGCTTTCACTGGGAGCTACAATCCCAAGCTGCTAGTGATCAGCCATCTTGGATCTCTCTCAGTCAAGCTGGTTTTGAACTCCTGACCTCAAATGATCCACCTGCCTCGGCCTTCCAAAATGCTGGGATTACAGGCGTGGGCCACGACGCCTGGCCAGAGGTTTCTATTTTGCACCAGGGTACTGTGGGGCTGGTGGTGGCCCTGCTGTGCCCAGCTCGCTCTCAGCCTCCTGCCTCCAGTGACCTGCTGCCATTCCCCCCAATCCCTCGTTGCTGGGGCCACTTTCCCTTCAGGGCTGGATTCAGGCAGGACCACTGCGGGTATGGAGGAGGCATGCATCCTTCTCCAGCGCACTTACCTGGTGCCGGGCAGGGAGGTTTCCCCCACGCTTGTGCCACGTGACCTGGGCGTGGGCCTGCCCGGGCACCACACACTTCAGATCCAGGGTCTGCCCTTCAGCCACTTGGGAGGAGGAGGTCTCGATGCGGATGGCTGGGGCTCCACCTTGGGCTGCGGCACGGGAGAGGTCAGTGAGCTGGGACGCCCACCCTGATGCCCTGAACCCTTCCCCAGGTGCCCAGATGTTCGAACCAGAGGATATTTGGGGCATGGGTTCTTTCCGTTCCCATTCCATTGAAGCCTGGAGCAGCTGTAGGCACTTCTCATTCTCCAGCTCTGCCCCCAGACAATGGCCCCAGCATCTCCTCTTCCTCCCACGCTCCCAGCGCCAGTGGGGCCGGGGCTCAGGTCTCGACACCTCCACACAGACCACTCATGTTTGGCAAACTCGGATAGAATGTGGCTAAGAACCCAGACTCTGGGGCCAGACTGCCTGGGTTCAAATTCCAGCTCTGCCATTGATTAGCGGTATGACCTTTGTGAAATAACTTCACCTCTCTGAGCCTCAGTTTCCCCATCTGTAAAATGGAGAGAACAATGCTATCTACCTCAAAAGGCTGTTGTGAAAATGAAATGAACTAGTATGTGTGAATACGGCAGGGCTCAGCATGTAAGATGTGCTTGATCATGTTTACTACCGGGCAATTTACGTCCTGTTATCATGATTTCTGCAATAGCATATGCCCCTGTGCTGTTAATTACTGTACATCTTCCTTTCAACTGAATCACTTTTATTTTTATTTTTTCGAAATGGAGTTTCACTCTTGTTGCCCAGGCTGGAGTGCAATGGCGTGGTCTTGGCTCCCTGCAACCTCCTCCACCCGGGTTCAAGCGATTCTCCTGCCTCAGCCTCCCAAGTGGCTGGGATTATAGGCTCGTGCCACTACACCCAGCTAATTTTGTATTTTTAGTAGAGATGGGGTTTCTCCATGTTGGTCAGGCTGATCTTGAACTCCCGACCTCAGGAGATCCGCCTGCCTCCGCCTCCCAAAGAGTTGGGATTATATGTGTAAGCCACCGTGCCCGGCATCAACTGATTCACTTAAAAAAAAAACTAACCTTAACTACTTAGCTCCATCATAGGCAAAGATTTCCAAGAACTAAGGACAGGCCTGATGTGTTTTTTTGGTCCCTTATATGCCACTAGTACTAATAAAGATGTTTATTTATTTATTGGAGGCAGAGTCTCATTCTGTCACCCAGGCTGGAGTCCAGTGGCACGATCTTGGCTCACTGCAACCTCCATCTCCTCTTCAAGGGATTCTTGTGCTTCAGCCTCCTTAGTAGCTAGGACTAAAGGCAATGTGCTGCCACATCCTTGAACTCATAAACTCAGGCAATCCACCCTCCTCGGCCTCCCAAAGTGCTGGGATTACAGGTGTGAGCTACTGCACCCGGCCCTAATAAAAATGTATAAATCACCCTCCAATACCCACAGAGGTGCAGTCCCAGGATTTTGGGAACTCTATAATTAGATAGTAGCATACAAGAGCACTTCTACCCTCCTTTACAGACAGTGACAGTGACATGCAGAAAGCTGAGGGCCCTTGGGCAACATCTCCAAGTGTGGCCAGAGGAGCTGGGACTCATGCACAAATGCCAAGCTACAAAGCCTGTGCTCGCCGCCCGCAGAGAGGGACAGAAGCCACTCCACTTGAGCCGGCTCCTTGGTCCTGGGACCATGGGAATGATGGGAGGTGAAGTCTGGAATCAGAGGGGCAGTTCCCGCCAAGTGCCAGGAAGTGTTTCCTTCTCCCAGTTCTGCCCAATGGTCTCTGTCCCTTCCTCCCTCCTCCAGCCTCCCAGTCCCACTGCAGGGACCCTCACCAGGGACGTGGACAGCACTTGAGCCAGAGGCTTCGATGGTGACCAGGACTGAGGCCTCCAGGGGGCCAGAGCTGCTCATCACCCGGCACACGTATTCGCCTGAGTCAGCCGGGGACACCCGGTAGAGCCGTAGCCGTGAGTCGTGGGCCTGAAGAGGGGACAGGACAGAGGAAGAGAGTCAGGTGCCAGTCTGGAATTGTTGAAAGCCTGGGGCCAGGGTCTAACCTCTGACCCAGGTGGGCACTGAACCCCATGGGGGCTCCTAGGTCTCCCTCCTGGCAGAACTAGCCAGGGCCCCCACATCCAGCAGCCCTCCCACCATTTCCTGCCGGCTGCATACCTGATGGTGACTGGGGAGGCTGCCCCCACGCTTGTGCCAAGTGACCTGGGCATGGGCCTGCCCAGGGACCACGCAGTTCAGATCCAAGGTCTGCCCTTCAGCCACGTGTGAGGATGATGACTCAATTCTGATGGGCATAGAACTGCCAGGGGCTGGGGGAACAAAGAGCAGTGAGTCGGCTCAGCTGTTGTTAGATTTGGGAACAGGGTTGGGTGGGACCCTCTGCTGTAGAAAATCCCACTCCCGGCCGGGCGCGGTGGCTCACGCCTATAATCCCAGCACTTTGGGAGGCCGAGGCGGGTGGATCACGAGGTCAAGAGATCGAGACCATCCTGGTCAACATGGTGAAACCCCGTCTCTACTAAAACTACAAAAAATTAGCTGGGCATGGTGGCGCGTGCCTGTAATCTCAACTACTCAGGAGGCTGAGACAGGAGAATTGCCTGAACCCAGGAGGCGGAGGTTGCGGTGAGCCGAGATCGCGCCATTGCACTCCAGCCTGGGTAACAAGAGCGAAACTCCGTCTCAAAAAAAAAAAAAAAAAAAAAAAAGAAAATCCCACTCCCCTGGACTAATAATAATAATAGTTAACACTTGGCCGAGCACCATGGCTCATGCCCGGAATCCCAGCACTTTGGGAGGCCGAGGTGGGTGGATCACCTGAGGTCAGGAGTTTGAGACCAGCCTGACCAATATGATGAAACCCCATCTCTGCTAAAAATACAAAAATTAGCCACACATGGTGGCGTGCACCTATAGTCCCAGCTACTTGGGAGGCTGAGACAGGCTGAGACTCCCTGGAACGGCTTGAACCAGGGAGGTGGGGGTTGGAGTAAGTGGAGATCGTGCCACTGCACTCTAGCCTGGGTGACAGAGCGAGACTTCCTCTCAAAATAATAATAATAATACTTCTGAAGCACTTATGACGTGCCAGGCACTGCTCTAAGCACTTTACAGGCATGAACTCACTTAATCTCACAAAATTTATACACTTCCTGCTGTGATGGGAATGTTTTTTATTTGCACAGGCCAAGACAGTGGCTGCAAGCCACATGTGGCTACTGAGAACTTGAAATATTAGAAATGGGGTCGCCGTAGCCACTGTATTGAACGGTGCATTTCTGAGAGGTTGGAAAGGTCACTGCCCCCATTTCACTGGTGGAAACTGACACTGAGAGGGGAAGGTAACTCTCTAAGTCCCTTAGTGGTCCAAGCAGGATTTGAACCCAGGGTTTTTTGTTCTATTTGGTTTTTTTAGAGAGGGTGGCTGACTCCTATTGCCCAGGCTGGAGTACAGTGGCACAATCACAGCTCGCTTGCAGCCTCAACCACCTGGGCTCAAGCGACCCTCCCACTTCAGCCTCCCAAGTAGCTGGGACTACAGTTAACAATGCCCGGCTAATTTTTGTATTTTTAGTAGAGATGGGTTTTTGCCATGTTGCCCAGGGCTCCTAGGCTCAAGTGATCTGCCCACCTTGGCCTCCCAAAGTGTTGGGATTACAGGCGTGAGCCATGGCACCTGCCTTTGAACCCAGGCGTCTTTCCGCTGGCCCTTGTCTCACTACTGAAAGGTCTGAGGACTCTGATCCAGAAGTGCCTTCTCCCCAGGGAACACTGTTGCCTGAATCCCTTGTCCCTTTCCTGGGCAGACTCACCAGAGGGGCTGCCGGCGCTAGGGGAGACCGAGATCACAATGGAGGCCTCCAGGGCATCGATGTTGTTGTTGGCCCGGCACACGTACTCGCCGGAGTCAGCCACAGACATCTGGTGCAACCGCAGGTGGGAGCCATGGGCCTGGATGGGCGGGTGGGGAAGGAGAGGGAGAGGGAGTAGAGGGACCCTGGGGTCACCAGCTGGCTTAGGCCTTCCCGGTCAGCCTGTTGACCCGGGCCCAGTCCGAGCAAGAGGGAGCCTGCTCTGCCCACCCCAGGAGACCAGGGTTCCACCCCTGCGGCCGTGGCTCCACTCTGTACCTGGTGTCGGGAGGGAAGGCTGCCCCCACGCTTATACCATGTGATGACAGCCTGGGGCTGCCTGGTGACCACGCAGTTCAGGTCCAAGGTCTGCCCTTCCACCACCGTGGGGGAAGAGGACTCGATCCTGATTGGTGGGGAGACGCTGGGCACTGGGGGCAGAGGGGTGGGGACCGCGCGGTCAGAGTGAGGTCACAGTGCTGGCACTGGGAACCTCTCTGCCACCCCCCTGCACTGCTTGTCTGGACCCCCTGCCTTCTGTGCTCTCACCATGGGAGGAGCCGCTGCCCTGGATGGTGACGACGAGTGAGGTCTCCTGGGAGCCGGCACCGTTACTGACGTGACACACGTACTCGCCCGAGTCTGCCGGAGTCACCTGAGGGATCCGCAGCCGGGAACCCATGATCTGCAGGAAGCAGGTGGCAGCAGGTGTGGGCAGGAGGTGACGGCAGGTGTGGGCAGCAAGTCCACGTCTTGGGCACTGCTGCCGCTGCCTCCTGGACTCTGGGAGCCTCCCTGAGTGCCTTCTTTGTGGCCTTCCTGAGACTCTCTGGTCTGGGGTGGAGGTCTAGCCTTTCGTCACCCCTCCAGAAAGCCTGCTAAGGCCCTATGCAGTGCTGACACGGTATCCTGCTGGGGCTCCCACGGCCTTTGAGCTGCCTGAATGAGGCAACTGTCTCATTCCATCCAGAATCTTCAGTGTCAGGCTCAAGATGAGGCCTGAAGCACTTTTCAGTGAGATTTGGTGCCTAAGTGGCTCTCGATGAGGTCAGGAAGCCTTATCTCTGCATTCTCAGCACCAGTCTAGGACCCATCCAGCAAGGATGATCAATGTTTGCTGAATGGCTGAATGAGCAGAGCGAGGTGCTGAGAGTCCCCCCACTTCCCATCAGGGCTGGTGCGTCCTGCTTTCGCCCTCCCCACGCTGGCCCTGTACCTGGTGCCGGCTGGGTAAGCTGCCTCCGCGCTTATACCAGGTGATGGTGTGGGGAGCCTGGCTGGCAACGAGGCAGTTGAGGTCCAGGGTGTGTCCATTGGCCAGGGAGGCCGAGGAGGACTCGATGCGGACAGGGTATACCACGCCCTGGGCTGGGAGGGCGAGATGGAAAGCAGGGTGTGGGAGCTGCTGAGGGTGCAGTCGGGGCCCCCAGGCTTCCACCATTTGCGTGAGCCCCGAGACACTCACAGTGGGAGCCGCTAAGGCGCTGCTGGATGGTGACGAGGACTGAGGCTTCCTGGGTGCCTGAGCTGCCGACCACACGGCACACATACTCCCCGGAGTCAGCTGGGGTCACCTGGAGCAGCCGGAGCCTTGAGCCATGCACCTGGGGGGGGTCAGGAGGGAGAAGGCAGGCTCAGAGCTGGGCACTGCGGCTCATGCCAAGCTCCTGTTCCCTTTCCCAGTGCCACTCCCAGCCCAGCCAGCTGGAACTTGATGGAAGCTCTTCCAGGGAAACCACCTTCTCCCTTCTTATCTCCTGCCCCAGTGTCAGGACTGGGTCTAGCCTGCCACCTCACCCATGCCAGGGACAACTGAAACTTGGCACGAGAGAGAAGTGGGGACCAGTGTTTGACATGCTACGGGGGAAATAAGGTGGGCAGCGTGAGCCCATTTGGCAGACGAGGACACTGAGGGTCAGGGAATCCAGTGACAAGTGACTGGCCTAAAGTCACACAGTATGCAAGTGGGGGAACAGTGTCTGAACTCATACAGGACTGAGTTCCAGGCCTATGCTCTTTTTTTTTTTGAGATGGAGCCTGGCTCTGTCATCCAGACTGGAGTGCAATGGTGCGATCTCAGCTCACTGTAACCTCTACTTCCCAGGTTCAAGTGATTCTCCTGCCTCAGCCTCCTGAGAAGCTGGGTTTACAGGCGTGCACTACCACGCACATCTAATTTTTATATTTTTAGTAGAGATGGGGTTTCACCATGTTGGTCAGGCTGGTCTTGAGCTCCTGACCTCATGATCCGCCTGCCTTGGCCTCCCAAAGTGCTGGAATTACGGGCGGCAGCCACCATGCCCAGTGAAGCCTATGCTCTTGTACCACAGCTACAGGGTCCTTCAGGCCTCCTTAGCTACTGCCTCCTACCTGGTGCTGGGCCGGGAGGCTGCCCCCGCGCTTATGCCATGTAATCTGGGCGTGGGCCTGCCCGGCAACGAGGCAGTTCAGATCCAAGTTCTGCCCTTCAGCCACATGTGAAGATGATGACTCGATCCGGACGGTGGGGGTGACCCCAAGTGCTGGGGACAGAAGGCAAAGATCAATTGCCGGCTGGGAGGTGAGAGGAGGTGGGGGTCCTGGTCTCACGGCAGGTGCAGTCTGCAGCCTGGCCTCCTGATCCTGCCATTGCAAGAATGGGGAGCCTCCTGCCCTGGGCCCCCAGCCCTGCCCTCCCTGAGACCTACTCACCAGGCACAGAGCCCGCAGGCTCAATGGTGACCAGGACAGAGGCCTCCAGGGGCACGGAGCTGCCCATCACTCGGCACACGTACTCGCCTGAGTCGGCGGGGGAAACCTGGTAGAGTCTCAGCAGGGAGCCATGCATCTGGCCAGAATGGGGGTGAGTCAGAGGCAGCCCTCAGGAGACCCTGGCACCTATAACCTGCAACCCTCAATCTCTGACCCCCAAGGCCTGGCCATCAGCTCTGGATCAGTTTCCCTGTCCTGCTTGGCAGTGGGGAAGGGAGACTCTTGTCCAGGAAGGGGGTGGTAGGCCAGAGGAGCCCCGGAGAGCTGGGCACACACTCGTACCACATCCCATCAATTCTAGACACACATTTCAATGTCTCCAAAATCAAGATATATCTACAACGAATGACCTTACAAATGGAAGTTTTTTCTTAGAGGGACATAAAATCATAGTGCGTCGTGCAATCAGTGCTATCCTAAATTCTACAAAATATAGTAACAACAATAGCCAATGGTGTTACAGGAATATTAATAGCTTAGAGCACTTTCTGTGAACCTAAGCTCTGAGGATTTTGCATATATATTAACCTTTAAGATAATTCTGTAAGTTATGTACCATCATTACCATTTTATAGACCCTGAAACTATAGCACAGAGAAGTTACTTGTCCTAGATCACAGGCTAAGCGGTGGAGCCAGGATTCACACCCAGGCTGCTCGGTGCTAGATGCTGGGTTCTAGTCACTGCATGATACATCTGTGCAATGGGATCCAGAACTTCCTAATCTCAGAGGAGCCTCTAGCCCTCCCCCGATAACCTCCGCCACCCAGGGACCCTGCTTCCTCTTCTTGGCCTGCCTAGCCTCCAGTCCCATACCTGGTGCCGGACAGGGAGGCTGCCCCCACGCTTGTGCCATGTAATCTGGGCGTGGGCCTGCCCAGGAACTATGCACTTCAGATCCAGGGTCTGCCCTTCGGCCACGTGCGAGGACGAGGGCTCGATGCGGATGGGTTGGGTGCTACCGGCGGCTGAGGGATAAGATGGTCCCCGGTCACTCCTGTTCTCTTAAGTAGCCCCAGCCTATTCTCTGCATCCCAGCCCAGCCTGGTGGCCCCACTCACGGTAGGCAAAGTTGGCCCCCTGGGTCCTGGTTACTGTGACTGTGATGGAGGCCTCCATGCCGTTGCTGGCCCGGCACACATACTGTCCTGCATCAGCAGGGGAGGCCTGGAAGATGTACAGGCGGGAGCCACGGACCTGGACAGGCATGGGCAGAGGTGTGAGGGGGGGCTTTCCAGAGGCCAGCAGATGCCCTGCCCCTGTTCCCCGATCTGGGAAGTGCCAGCCCCTCAGCCTAGGGGCCAGGACCCCACAACCCACCGTCCATGGTGCCCTGTACCTGGTGTCGGGCAGGGAGGCTGCCCCCGCGCTTGTACCATGTGACCTGGGCATGGGCCTGCCCTGCCACCACACAGCTGAGATCCAGGGTCTGCCCCTCGGCCACCGTGGAGGATGAAGACTCGATCCTGACAGGTGGAACGGGTCCTGCAGCAGGGTGAATAGGAGTGAGAGGTGTAGATGCTCCCAAGAAGAGAGGGCAGGGGTTGCCCACCCGGCAGCTAGCTCAGCCCAGGGTTCCAAGGCTGGGCCCAGGTTTCCAGGCATCTGGGGGCCTGGGCTTGATTCCCTAAGCCCAGCAACCTTGATGGGAGGGCCAAGGCATGGGCAATGGCGTAGGCCACGCCTTGCAGAGGGGAGTGAGGAAGAGAGAGATGAGGGTAGTGGAGGCTCGGAGAGAGGAAGAGGAGGTGGGAGGGGACCCCTGAAGAGTCATGTGGCCAAACGGAAGCGACGGGAGGGCGGCGGTTACTCTGATGGGTGGAGTCGGCCTGGGCAGGGCCCTGCAGCCAGCTCCAGCATGGACCTCCTGCCCCGTCGGCAACAGGGGTCACTTGGATCTTACCACCCTGGAGGGCTCTCTGCCTCCTCCAGTTTTCCGTGTCACTGGGAGTCACTCACCTGGGATGACAGAGGCCTCGATGGTGACCAGGACTGAGGCCTCCAGGGGGCCGGAGGTACCCATCACACGGCACACATACTCGCCTGAGTCGGCGGGGGACACCTGGTGCAGCCGCAGCAGCGAGCCGTGGGTCTGTGTGCAAATTCGGTGGGTTGGGAGGGGGTCGGAGCAGTCCCATCCAGCCCCTCCAGCAAGCTGGTCCTGGGGGACCACCATACCTGGTGCCGGGCAGGGAGGCTGCCCCCACGCTTGTGCCACATGACCTGGGTGTGGGCCTGCCCAGGCACCACGCAGTTCAGATCCAGGGTCTGGCCTTCAGCCACATGTGAGGAGGAAGGCTCGATGCGGATGGGCGGGGTGCTGCCGGGGGCTGGACACAGAGGCACTGCTCAGACACCTGGGCTCTTGGGCTGTAACCTGGAGCCCTGGGGCAGAGGGCTCTGGGCTGTGATCAGGCCCTCACGGGGACGGCCGACAGGTGGCCTTTCTGAGACCGGGGCCACACCCTTCTGCCTCCACATGGCCAGCCAAGTATGGCTTCTTCCCTGTCCAACCTCTAACCACAAGCTGTAGGCCCACTGGCCCACCCATGACTTCTTGACGATGAGCTTCTCTGGCCTGCAGGGAGCCAGCGAGCTTTACTACCCAGGCTGCGCCCATGGCTGCCGATGACAGTGAGACACATCCCTGCTAGAGGGCGCGTCCATGTGCTCACAGGTACTTTCCGGAGACACCGTCTCATTTAAACCACACCATGACCAAGCAGGTGGGTGGCACTTTCTGTTCCATTTCATAGATGAATCTGAGGCCCCAAAAGGTAAAAACTAGCTCAGGGTTGCTAAGGGGCAGATCTGGGATCTGAAGCAGGCCAGCCGGCTCCCAGGTCAGTGTTCAACCAGACTCATTTGCTGCTTCCTGACAAATTCTGAAACAGTACCTCACAGGGGTCTGGTAAGCTGGACCAGCCTTAGCCCCACTCCCATCCACTCAGTCCCCTCCTCTCCCCGAGCAGGCACTGGAGGATCAAAGCCTGCCTGGGATGCCCCCTCTGTCCTGGTGCCACTGAAGAGGCCATGGGCATCTTCTGCACTGGGAGCTCCCAGGGATCAGTCCCGGCTCGGCCACATCTGGCTGCCCACCTGGGGTGTAGCTGGGACCTGAATGGGTGCCGTGGAGGACAGAGACAGTAATGGAGGCCTCCTTGGGCCCTGATCCGTTCTCCACACGACAAACATATTCTCCAGAATCAGCTGGTGAGACCTGGGGGAGCCGCAGCCGGGAGCCGTGGACCTGGGCCAGGAGGAGGCAGAGGTATGTGAGGACAGGGACGGGGGCTGTGGTCACCGCTCCCTCAGCCTCAGTGATTCACTCAAACTGTCACTGGTTGTGCTCTGAGCCGTCCCATGCTGGAAGCTGGCAGGGAGGGATATGAGGCCTGGCTTCTGCTGGCAGGTGTGGGGTGTGTGCCACCTCCCCGACCCTACATAGAGTGCCCTGCCCTCCCCCCGACAACCCCTGCTCCCTGGGTCCCCTGCCACAGGCTCAGGGCCCTCATACCTGGGTGTGGGGAGGCAGGCTACCCGCTCGCCTGTACCAGGTGACCTGGGCGTGGGCCGACCCTGCCACCACACAGTTGAGGTCGAGTGTCTGCCCCTCTGTCACAGAAGGCGATGAGGACTCAATCTTGACCGGCGGTGGGCTGGCATCTGAGGCTGGGGCCGGAGTAGAGGTCAGCAGAGCCCTGGTTTGCCCTCCCCACCCCTCCATTCCCAGAGGGCCCTCACCTGAAAGGACAATCACTTGGATCCGGGCCTGGGCGGTGCCTGCAGGGCTGGTGGCCACACAGAGGTAGAAGCCGGCGTCAGCAGTCGTGATGGCCGGGATGAGCAGTGTGGGGATGTCCGTGTGCTCCGACCGGGCCTGCCATGGGTGAGAGGGTCAGCTGCTCCAGAGGCAGCTGGGCAAGGGCTGGCCAGGGGGACAGATGGGGCATAAAAGGGAGAGGCAGGTGCAGGGGCTCCCTGCTGGGATGCAGCAGCACGAGGCTACCGTCTTGGGGGTGAAGGGAGCCACAGAGGAGGAGGTGGGGTGGGACGTGGAGGGGGAGGGAGGGTGGCTGGGACTCTGTGGAGCCTGTGGGCCTTCTGGGTGGGCAGATCTTACCTGTGGTGGGAGGCTGCCCCCTTCCTTCCTCCAGGTGATAGTGACGCTGGGCACCCCTGCAGCCCTGCAGTACAGCCTGACGGTGCGGCCTTCGTGGACCTGGGTCCTCTCTGGGCTCACTTGGACTCTGGGCCCGCTGCCCCCTGCAGACAGAGTCCCGTGAGAACACGGCCTGGGCTGAGCTCACTCTCAGCCCCACCTGAGCCCAGCCTCTCACCATGCACGTGGAGCACAGCCCGGGCCACCTGCTGCCCAGCGCTGCTGTGGGCTCGGCACAGGTACTGGGCCTGATCCGCGGGCTCGACGGCTGGCAGGCGCAGGATGCCGCCTTGGACTTGTGCCTTCGCAGGGAGCTGGCCACCGGGGCCCCCTGGTGAGTAGACCTGGGGTCAGCACCCACCGAGCCTGCTCAGAGACCTGCTCCTGCCCTCCCACACCCAGGAGAGTCAGGCCCTGAATGGCATCCCCATCACGGCCTCACCTGCCCACTCGAGGCGGGGCGTGGGGCTCCCCGTGGCGCTGCAGCGGAACTCGGCCAGTTGACCTGGCTGCACTGTGAGCTGTGGCGGGTGGATGGAGACCACGGGGGCGGACGAGCTGCCCGAGGCTGACAAGGGAGGAAAAGGAACACACCGTTAGCATTGGGGAGTGTCATCTGACTCACACGACAGCCCCGCTGCCACTCTCTTTGCTTCCAGGCTGGCCCTCCACGGCCATCTGTGCACACAGCAGCCAGGGAGCTTTGAAATGTCAATATGACCTTATGACCTTCCCACTCGAGACCTGTCCATGACTCCCTGTTGCTTTTAGAGTAAAAGCCCAAATCCTGGCCCTGATCCATCACATACCGCATGCTCTCCCCCCGCCCACGCCCTTCCTCCCTCCCACAGCCCAGCCACGTGGCCTCTGCTGTTCCTCAAACACAGCAAGGTGCTCCTGCCTCAGGGCCTTTGCAAGTGCTGTTCCCTCTGCAGAGAACACTCTGCCAGCTCTCTAACTCCCTCAATGCCTACCTTTCCTTCAGGCCTCAGTTTAGGTGTCACCTCCTCGGAGAAGCCCTCCCTGACTGTCCTGTCTAGAGTAGCCCCGGCTTCTCCCATCTTGTTTTATTTTATTTTGTTTTTGAGACGGAGTCTCACTCTGTCCCCCAGGCTGGAGTGCAGTGGCATGATCTCGGCTCACTGCAACCTCTGCCTCCCGGGTTCAAGTGATTCTCCTGCCTCAGCCTCTCGTGTAGCTGGGATTACAGGTACCCACCACTATGCCCAGCTATTTTTGTATTTTTAGCAGAGATAGGGTTTCACCATGTTGGCCAGGCTGGTCTGGAACTCCTGACCTCAAGTGATCCGCCCGCCTTAGCCTCCCAAAGTGCTGGGATTATAGGCATGAGCCACGGCGCCCGGCCTCCCCCCACCTCGTTTCACTGTTATTCCTAGCCTGCACTCATTGTCGTGTGGAGTTATCTTGCTTGTTCATTGATTCTCATGCTTATGGTCTCCCTGCCTAGAACATGTGCTTCAGGAGGGCTGAGATCCTGTACGTGCTGCTCTCCCAGCTTCTGCAGAGCCTAGACCAGGACTAGGCATGCCACAGGTGCTCAGACGTGATCAGTTGAATGAAGAAATGCTGTGCTAATCCTGGTGGGCATGGGGGGAAGCTGGGGTGAGAGGATCTGGTATAGAAGGGAGGTGTACCCTGCACGTGCAGAGTGGCTGTGCCCTGGTCCATGGCAAACATGTTGGAGCCGGTGCACACATAGGTGCCCGCGTCACTCAGCTGGACATTTCGAATGGTCAGGATGCCATTGAAATCCATGGCTCGGGCGGGCAGTTTCCCATTGTGCAGGCGGGTCCACACCAGAGTGTAGGCTGGAGACTGCAGGACAAGGCAAAAGGGGGTCACGGGTGGGGCTCAGAGACCCCAGAAGACAGACTCCCATATCCCCACTCCCTGCCCTGCACACCTTGCTTTTGGCTGTGCAGATGAAGGTGACGTCGGCTCCAGGGCGCACGCTCTGGCTGCGCTGCTCCTCCACGGTCACTGTGATGGGCTTGCTCGGAGCCTCTGTGGGGACAGGAAGCCTCCAGTGAGCCAGTGCTGGCTGGGCCCTGGGCCCGTGGCCGCTCTGCTTTTCTCCATAACCTCCTCTAGGCGTCAGTTCCTTCCTGGTATAGCTTAGCTCTTATTCCAGCCCCTGGAGCCTGCCTCCCCCATTCTGGCTGACCCCCACCATCCCCGCTCTCCTGGCCACATGGAGCAGCCACGGGATGTGGCTGGGGAACATCACACCATGAGTCCACTCGGCTCCGGTTCCTGGTCACAGACTACAAATGAGCTCCTAACACATCACACTTCCCTCCAGCTGGCTTTCTCCGTCTGGTTTGAGTTTCTATTCCCCAACAACAGCTATTTTACACGTCCTCCCACCTCCAGCCTCTCTAACCACTCTTCCACTGTCACAGCTAGTGGCACCGACACACACTTGTGGAGAAGAGAGAAACGACCAGTGAGGAGTGTTCCCAGCTCTCACATCTACCAGGTCTTTAGGTGCTGGCCCCTGAAGGACGGGCCCCTTCTCGTGCCCCCACCCTGTCCCACTGCGGTGCCTCCTGAATGCCCACCCCTCCCAAGGGTTTCCTCCGCTCTCACGCCATCAGCGTCTCCTCTCCTTCTCACGCCATCACTTCGCTCCACGGAGTGCTCTCTAGAATTTCCCATTTCCGAAAACGCCCCCTTGACTTCATGCTCTCACAGCCGATGATCGTTTCCTGGCCTCCCTTCAGAGCCAAGGCTCTTGCAACAGTTGTTCACACTCACTGCCTTCCCATCCATGCGTCGCCTCCTTCCAATCTGGCTTCTATCCCTTCTCTCCACTGAAAACCGCTCGTCAAAGCATGACCTCCAAGGGCTACTTCTCTGCCCCTGTCTGACTTCCCAGCGGGGAGGCTGCCCGGGAAGTCCTTTTCCCTCTGACTCCCAGGATGCCCCCTGCCTCCCCTGCCTCGTGGCTGCACTCTCTCAGGCTCTTCCTACCCTTCCTCTTCCACTGGACATGTTCACACTGGAGGTCCTCGGGACTCCGGGCTGGGGCCCTGTCCTCCGGCCGCACTCTCCCTGGGTGACTTCATCCTGCCCCACAGCTTTGAACACCATCTCTGAGTCAACAGCTCCCAGACTCATTTCTCTGGCTGGGGCCCCTCTCGGGAGCTGACACTCACATACCCAAATGCCTGCTTGGCGGACCCAATGAGATGTCTCCCCAAACTTCTCACACTTGAACACGCCCACAGCAAGCCTGGGATTCTCTCTGACCTGTTTGTAGCCTGTGCGGCTGGTGGCCTAGCCATGCTCCCCCCGTGCCCGCCTGCCTGACTTCTGCCAGCCATTGTGCTTCTTTGCACTGAGGGCTTTCTCGGGCCACTGGATCCCACTGTGCACGCCCACTGTGCACGCCCATGGGTGGGGCAGACGTGCAGGGGACTTGATGCTCCCGGAATAGGTCTCAGCCAATGACCGACAGGGGCTGGCTTAGAAATACTGCAGCTCCCTGGGCCCCAGGGCAGAGTGACTCCGAGGTGAGTGTTTTACACTGGCTCCCAAAAGCTTCCTCGGTTGCAGTAAGCGACAACTGCTCATGGTGGCAATCTGCTTGATCACACAGCCTTTACCGGGATGCCTTCCCGTCCCTGCCTCACTTTACTTCCCGGTGTTACTTGCACACAAATCCTTGTTTCAGACTCCACTTTCGGAAAGCTTGAATGAAGACACCTGTCTATTGGAGCCTCCCTCATCTCAGTAACCATAACCAATGTCCCTGGTAGCTAGAATCCAGACTCCCAGCTACTACCCTTTTCTTTTTCTTTTTTTTGAGACAGGGTCTTGCTCTGTCGCCCAGGCTGGAGTGCAGTGGCATGATCTTGGCTCACTGCAACCTCCACCTCCCAGATTCTAGTGATTCTCCTGCCTCCACCTCCTGAGTAGCTGGGACTACAAGTGCATGCCGCCACACACAGCTAATTTTTATATTTTAGTAGAGATGGAGTTTCACCATGTTGGCCAAACTGGTCTCGAAGTCCTGACCTCAGGTGATCTACTGCCTCAGCCTTCCAGGTGCTGGGATTAGAGGCGTGAACCACCGTGCCTGGCTTCCACCACCCTTTCTCCCTCACTGACCAGTCAAGTTCTGCCTATCCTACCTCTAGAATGTGTCTTGAATCTGCCACCTCTCCTCATCTCCATGGCCACTGCCCTCGTCCCCTCCCGGAGGTGAATGTACCATCTGCCTGAGTCTGCAGCCTGCAGCCCAACCCAGGACAGGCAGTCTTGGTTACAGGTGGTGTAGGGACTTACCGGTGACCAGCAGCTCTGCCCGGCTGTTATTGGCATGGTGGAGATTACGGCAGGTGCAAATGTAGACGCCAGCATCCGAGGGCTGGACGCTGGGAAAGTGGAGCTCGGAGCCTGGTGGGGAGAAGATGGGAGCTTGTTGGTGCAGACATGTTCTTTCTCACATCCAGCCCATGTGTGAGCACAGGACCCCAGTAGGGCAGGGACAGGCCCCTGCACCCGCCCCCCGCCCCGACTGCGGTGGCTCTTGAGGTGGAGGAGCCTAGGGCCATGGGTACCTTGATGTCGCTGCTGGGTGCTGCTGGGCACAGGGCGCCCATCCTCGCGGGACCAGTAGAAGTAGTGGGGTGGGCTCCCACTGACCTGGCACCGTAGGGAGTGGGAGCCGCCTTGGGGCACTATGCTTCGAGCAGGATGGACCTGGACCACCAGTGGGGCTTGGTTTGCTGGTGGTGGGGGCCAGGACAGGAGGGGCCATTCAGCATTATCTCTGATATCTCTGCTTTCCCAAAAGCTGGGGTACCCCACCCTTAGCCTTGTCCCCCAGACCGAGTATCCCCCCCAACTCCCAGGGCTCCCTGCCTTGCCCATCGCCCCCATCCTGGGCCATGGTCCCACTTACTCTCTGGCAGGCACCGGCCCCCTGGCACACTGGGGTTACCCACATAACCTGGGGCACACCTGTAAGGGGGAACAAGGACCAGCTCTGTCAGGCCCCAAGGGACCCAGTTCTCTCATGGTGGACTTGGGGAGCCAGAAGCTCAGGAGGCCACCCAATGTCAGGTGAGGAGGCTCAGAGCTCTGGAAGGACTTTGGGGACCAGACAGGTCCCCATCCACACAGGGTGCTGGTGAGCTGAGAAAGGAGAGTGTAAGGGAGTGTTAGCAGGTTGCGTAATGAGGGAGACAGGGTCTTTATTCTCCAGAGAAATTCATTCAGCAAACTTCCGTTAAGCAACTACTATGTGACAGGCATGTGCTAGGTATTGGAAATGCAACAGTGAACATGATGAAGTCCCTGGTCTGTAGAACTTACTAGTTGGGAAACTCTACGTGAAAATGAGAGTGCAGGAAGCATACCAGGGCTGAGGGGGCACAGGAGGGCACTGACCCCACCTGGAGAGCTAGGGAGGCTTCTAAGAGGACAGGACTTCTCGGATTACCTCAGAGCAGGCTGTACTCTTCTTTCAGAGAACTTATCATGGTTTATAAATATCCATTTACACAATTACTTTTTCCCCCATCTTATCTCCCATTAGGGCTGATCTCTTTTTAGGTGGTAGACTGTAAGGACTGGGATGGAATCTGTTCTGTTCACTACATTATCTCCAACACCTCAGCACACAGCGTGGTACACAGTAGATGCTTGATAAAATTTGCTGAATAAGTGAATGAAGCTGGGTCTTGAAGGCCAAGTGGAAGTTAGCTAGGAAGGGGTGGTTTAGGGGTGAAGACTCTTCCATGCAGAGGGAACAGTATATGCAAGGCCTGAACGTCAAGAATTCAAAAAGTGGCCAGGCGTGGTGGCTCCCCCCTGTAATCCCAGCACTTTAGGAGGCTGAGGCAGGAGGACTGCTTGAGCCCAGGAGTTTAAGACCAACCTGAGCAACACAGTGAGACCCTGTCTCAATTAAAGAAAAAAAAAAATTCAAAAAGCTAAGCCCAGCTAAGTACAGAGTTGGGTGTCAGAAGTGGGATGAGACTGCCACAGTAAAGCTGCCTAAAGTGGCCGGGCTTGTCCCAAGGGCAGTGTGGCATCTTAGAAGGGTTTGGGGCAGGGAAGGAACACAATCCCGGAAGGGACTTTTCTGAGCAACACCCTCTAAGGCTCTCATTTGGGAATCCACCATTTGTCTTCCACCCTTCCCCCACTTCTGTTTAGAAACTTACTGCTCACAGTACTGGCCAGTGTAGCCGGATTCACAGGCTGTGCAGCGGTACCCACCAGCTCCCAGGCTTTCGCAGGTGCGGGAGAACCTGGGGTCAGGGAGGCAAAGGTCAGGTCACAGGAAGCCCACTGCCTACCTTGCTCCCTTCACTTCTGCCCAAAAGCCAATGCCCAAAAGCCAAAGCCTTCCATTCATTCCCCAGTGGAAGTGTGTCCTTGTTACCCACATGTTCTCTGGGTTGGTCAGTGGGCAGGCACAGGGCTGGCAGTCCTCAGGCGTCCCGGCTGTGGCATCTCCATAGTAGCCAGGGGCACACAGCTCGCAGAACTCCCCTGCGGCATTGTGCTGGCATTGCTGCAGGGCACAAGGAGGGCAGGCATCAGCCATTAGGCCAGATTTACAGAAGCCTTTCAAGGTTGCCATCCCCTGATCTAGAAATTCCAAGTTTGTGAACTTGTCTTAAAGCATCACGGTAGGGCACACAGATTTCATTACAAGGACACTCATCTCCATGGTGTTTATAAAAAGCAAAATGGGCTGGGCATAGTGGCTCCTCACGTCGGTAATCCCAGCACTGTGGGAAGCCAAGGCTGGCGGGTCACCTGAGCTCAGGAGTTCACGGCCAACATGGTGAAACCCTGTCTCTTAAAAAACACAAAAATTAACAGATGAGGGATTTTCTGGAACAGTTGCCAAAAGAAGACCATGGTGATTTTTTCGGTACAACACCTTTACAACATCAAAGAATACTGTTGCCAAGTTTCCAGGATAGTGAAGATGATGATGATATTCTACCAGATATGGACAAAAATCCAGCAACTCCATCATCAGCCGTCTTTCCATTGGCAAAAACTCCTCAATGTCAGCACATCAGTCCTGGAATGCTCGCTTCCATAAATAGGAATGATTGTGATAAATATGTTTTTCGTATGCAAAAATATCATAAAGGTAATGGTGGTATTGTCTGGGGCAACATTAAGAAAAAATTAGTTGAAACTGATTTCTCAGTTCCAACATCAAGAAGGAAAACCCCATTTAACCCAGATTTAGGAGAAAACTTCGGTGTTGGAAAACTTTTCACTAATGCTATGGAATCTTTAGATGAAGAAGAGAAAGATTATTATTTTTCAAACTCTGATTCTGCAGAGTAAAATGAAAAAATATGATTCCTGGGGGTTTTACCATGAAGCAGACAGTGTATTTGTATTTTCAATTGAAGTACATGTATTTTCTTTGTAAAGTAGCTTATGAAAATGTGGACTTTTTTGAAGGTCTTGTGTGTTTGTATTCAAAGTAAAATATCCTCATTGCTGCAGCTTACTAAAAATTTACAGAAAATTGCTTTTGCTTGTGTAGATATCTGTAAATTTCTGTTTTTGTACTTTAAAATATATATATAGATACTTTTTAAATGAGAATCTAAGTCTGTTTACTTTAAGAAAATTGTTTCCCCCTTTTTTTTTTTTAATTTCAAGAAAATTTTGCTACCATTTAAGTAAGGGAAGGTGAAAGGCTGACAGAGGTTGTACTGGCAGCTACTGAATTCATGAAAACTTTTAAGTTAGCATTTGTCACCAGTTCACATCCAAGCCAGAGCAGGATTTGTTACCGGTTGTTGTCCAAGCCTGGTGTTTAAATCACACATTGTTGAAACTGACATGCTTGTCTCCTGATTTTTTTTAACTTGTGATTGGTATGTCTATGAAACCTATGTAAATTTAGTTTATTACTTTGCCATTATTTTACTAGGTAAAATTAGAGAACAAAATCTCTTCTTTATTTACATATGCAGATACAGCTTAAATATTTTGACTAGATTAGACATTCAGTTAATAGATTCACCATTAGGAGTCAAATTAATATGTGAAATTTCTTTTAGAAACAAATTTTCATTTGTTACGAAACTTGACATAGGACATCTGGCTATACATTCACCTACAACTTGTTCTCTAGTTATACTGTTCAAATAAAGTTAGTTTGCTTTTATAGAAAAAAAAAAACCACAAAAATTAGTTGGGCATGGTGGTGCACACCTGTAGTCCCAGCTACTCAGGATGCTGAGGTAGGAGAGTTGTCTGAACTTGGAAGGTGGAAGTTGGAGTAAGCCAAGATTGTATCACTGCACCCAAAAAAAAAAAAAAGCAAAATGCTGGAAACAAATCTAACCATCCATGAATAGGGAATTGAATAAACTAAAAAGTGTATCCAACCAAAAAAAAGCCAGTATATCCATCCAAAAAAAAAAAATATCCATCCAAATAGCTGTCAAAAAGGGTGATGCTGATTCTATTTTCTCCCTAAGTACCTGTGATAGTAAAGGAAGGGAAAGGAATACACGTGGGTATCTGAGGGCAGAGCATTGAAAATATGTGCATCATTGGTTGGGCACGGTCTCACACCTGAATCCCAGCACTTTGGGAGGCTGAGGAGGGTGGATCACCCGAGGTCAGGAGTTCGAGACCAGCCTGCCAACGTGGTGAAACCCCATCTCTACTAAAAATATAAAAACTAGCCGGGTGTGGTGGTGGGCACCTGTCATCCCAGCTACTGGGGAGGCTGAGGCAGGAGAATCGCTTGAACCAGGGAGGCGGAGGTTGCAGTGAGCTGAGATTGTGCCATTGCACTCCAGCCTGGGTGACAAGAGCAAGACTCCATCTCAGAAAAAAATGAAAGAAAGAAAATATGTACATCATCATAAAAAGATGTGGGTTACTGATTCTCCTCCAAAGCGATTCATATTTGTTGTATCAACATAGAGTGTTCTTTGCTCCAAGGTTAGCTTCTGGCTGTCAACCACCTGGCCCTTCACCCCGTATCCTGGGGGGACTCTACACATGCTACTCTGAAAAGTCCAGGTATAAAAATATATGCAATGAGACCAGACGCAGTGGCTCACGCCTGTAGTCCCAGCTACTCAGGAGGCTGAGGCATGAGAATCACTAGAACCCAGGAGGTGGAGGTTGCAGTGAGCCAATATTAGGCCACTACACTCCAGCCTGGCCGACAGAACAAGACCGAGACCCTGTCTCAAAAAAAAAAAGTAGAGACCAGGTGTGGTGGCTCACGCCTGTAATCCCAGCACTTTGGGGGGCCAAGGCAGATGGATTGCTTGAGCTCAGGAGTTCGAGACTTCGTGAGCAACATGGTGAGACCCCATTAGATAATTTTTTTGTAAAGAAAAAGAAAAAATAGTAAAGAACCAAAATTTTCTTTACACAGAAGGATGTTACTCCACAGCCCTGGTCACCCCACCATGCCTGGTGACCTGGCCTGCTGACCCAGGTGCTCTGACCCACAGGCCATGCATGCCCCATGACCCTGCCCCTGGATGGGTGTCTGTCTTGTCCAGCCCTGGTCCCCCACCCAGGCTCAGCTGAGCTGACCCCCTGTCCCGGCCTTGCTTGTAGCTCACCGAGCAGGCCCCAGTCTCCGGGTGGCACAGGTCTGAGTGGCCATTGCATTCGCACAGCTCGCAGTGGCCAAGGTACAGCCCACTCCCGGTGCGCGTGTAGCTGGGGGCGCAGTCCTAGGGGGCAGAGAGGAAGGTTGGCCTCTGTTCCCAACATGCCGCATCCACAGCCAGCAGACCCAGAACCCCTCCCTTCCAGCGTCCCCCCAGGGGTGACCCTGCCACATCACAGGCTGGCTCCCCTCCTTCCTGGCTTCTGCTCAGTCTGGCCTCCTGCCCACGACACTATCGCAGTCCACACTGTTCACCTCCCGGAGGCATCTCCATGCTGTGCTTTGGCCGGAGTAGTCTGTGTTTCTGAATTGGCTCCCTGTCTCTTTTGGGCACCCCGAGGGCATGAACCGGGTTTGAACCTCTGGGGAGCATGGCCCATGCCTGAGGCCGCACTGCTCAGTGGTTAGGACATGCTAGGCTTTGGAGTTAATCAGACCCGAGTTCAAATTAGTTTCTGCCACACGTTAGCCGTGCACCATTGGGGCACACTTGCCCCTCAGCACCTCTATTTTGTTACCTGTTAAAGGGGATAACAATACAAATCTCAGGGCTGTTGGGAGGAATGCACGCAGGGCGCAGATGCGGGGGGTCATTATAGTGATGATGGTAATCAAGGCTGCAGTGACGCGCTTCTTGATGCCTCTGTGCCTGTGCAGAGGTGGCTGAGCCGGCCACACACTCACCTGGCAGGACAGACCAATGTAACCCGGGGGGCAGCGGCACTCCTCCACCTCGAGGGCCCGGGGTCCGTTCGAGGGCCCAGGCTGGGCGACCTCCAGGCTGACTGCGCTGATGCTGGCTGCCAGTGGCACCGAGGAGAACGTGGCCCGGATCAAGAGCTCATCTAGGTCGGCCAGTGCCATCAGGAGGTGCTCACGTGTGGCCGGCTGCCCGTCGGGCCGGCGCCAGAATTCCTGGGTTGGGGGTGGCAGCGTGGGCGGGGGTATTGGGCTTTGTGGGTTTCTCCTGCAGTTACCACCCCCCAACTCTGGCCTTACGGGCACTGGCTGAGGGCTGCGGGATGAAGGTTGGGGAGTGAGAGGCAAGGTGGGCATCAAAGCCAGGCTCCGAGTCAGGGCGGCGGGGGGCGGCGTGAGAAGCTTGGCCAGGTGACCCTCACCTCTCTGAAGACGATCTCGTAGCTCCTCCTCTCGGGGCCCTGCAGCGCTGGCTGGGAGGCCACCAGCATGATGTTGTTGCCCTGGGGACACACCAGCAGGATTAGAAGGGGAGCCGAGGGGCCCCTGGAGTGCCAGGGTGTCCTCCACCAGTCCTAGGCTCTCTGTAACCACCAGCCGCCCACCTCTCCCCTCTCCCAAGCTCAAGTGTCCAAAGGAGTCAGGCACATGCCCACTGCCCCCTTCTCCCAGCAGCAGGCTCCTCTGCCTGGGTGGTGTCCAGCCAGGCAGGGATGTGGGGACACAGGCCTAACTCCCCCAGCCTGTGCCAGGAAACCGAGTGCTGGATGAAAAGGCCAAAGGACAAATGCCAAGGTGCCCCGGCTTCTATCCTGCCCTTCTGCCCACCCAGCATGGCGTCCAAATGCTCACCGTGATCTGGACGTCAGGGTCAGAGAGTGGGCTGCCCTGCAGGCCCGCGGTGTAAGAAAGGGTGTATCGCAGCTTCCCACCGTAGGCCGCCACCTGCAAAAGGCAAGCCCAGAGGTCACAGGCTGACCTTGCGGGGTGAGTGTTGGACCATACAGATGAGGGTGGAGCATACGGAGGCCTTTTGGCACCTGTACCACGCTCCCCTGCCCCCTCCCTGCCCTAACCAAGAGGCCAGGGTGCATGGCCCGTGGGTGCTGGGAAACAGGACATTTCTCAGTTTCCCTGCAGCCTCAGACATGGTGGCAATCATGTTGAGCAGCCTCGGCTCTGCAAGCTTCTCCATTCCGCATTGCCTGACGGTGCCAGCGAACCAACTCCAAGTCCTCTTTTATTTACAGGAATTTCCCAGGAGGCAGACAAGGGTAATGACAGTGACCACCATGGGGAGGCTGCGGAAAGTTCAAAAATTCTCAGCCATGGCGGGGGTGGGGCTGAGGGCAGCCCCTCGGAGGCCTTGCCTCCTAGGCGCATGGTTTTTGTTTGCCCCGAATCCAGTTCCTCCTTTCTATAAACTATACCCTGGCTTTCTATAAAGAACAACCTTCCTGCTACACCATGCAGGTCTGAGGGTCCTGATCCCCTCCTCCTCTACAGTGGAGACATGAGCCAGGCCTGGCCGATCTGCATGGCCTACCACTGCCCTTTGCCACCCCATCAGGGATAGACAAGTACCCTGGGCACTTCTGTTCTTTCTACCTGGCCAGAGAAAGTCCCTTCTTCAGTCAGCTGGAGAACCAAGAAAAAGCCCTAATGAGACCCTGGGTAAGGCCATGCCTGATACCAGACATGCTTAGACTCCGCAGCTGTACGAGCCAATAGATTCTTCGTCACAGACAAGCCTGCTGGACCTGGGCTTTGTGTTGCTCATGACCGGAGAGTCCTTACTCTTGTTGCGGGGACCCTCCCGCGGGCAGCTGAGGCCCCCAGCTCTGCCCCACAGGACTTTCCTTTCTCTCCTCTGCCACCAGGGTAGATGTTCATCTCAATACCAAACTGCATCAAACCTACCCCTTCGTGCATTTGTGTGTTCACTCGGCTGACCAGCATTTATTAAACACCTACTGACTACACACTCAGCCCAGGGCTACATGGGCCCCAGCGATGTTCTCCATGAGCTCAGGGCGTGGTAAGGAATTCTGGAGTGTAACCAAATAACCGTAAAATAGCTGGCTTCCTGTCTGCTTTGAATGCCAGCAAGTTCACAGCCATTTCTGAGACTAACTTTCTAGCAAGTTGCAGGTATGTACAGCACAGTGATTGTTCTATTTATTTACTAACCGTTCAAAAACCCTAGTGTCTATTTTATTTTTTTACTTTTTTTTTTTTTTTTTTTTTTTTTTTTTTTAGACGACTTTTATTTATGTTACCCAGGCGGGGGGGCACAGGAGCGCGCTCGGCCCCGC